CCTGTAAATTAGAATTACATTGTCTAAAAAAAATATAGATATAGTTATTCTATAAGTATAACTGTAGTTTTGTATTAAAATTTCTTATTAAACTTTTGCTATTCTATTATTTTGCAGCATGATAAAAATGAAACCCAATTATTATCTAACTTTAACTCGTATGTAATACCTTTTTTGGAGGGACAAGTTATGAGCCCCCCCCCCCAAAAAAGAAATTGTGCACTCAAGTAAAGGATGAGCTAATAGACCATTTGGAGTAAGTACATTTGACGTTTTTATTTACAATAAGAAAAAGAAATCTCATGTATTAATTGCATTATTGAACATTATTTAATCACATACAGCAGATACAACTTGATTGCTCATAATTTGAGCCATATGAAAAAACGTTGGAAGTATCGTGATATAGGAAAAGCGCTTGTAGCAAACTTTCCTTCAATTCCTCTAGAACAATCATCCAAATTTAAAACGAAATATGTAAGTGAAAATAGTATTCTTTTATTGATGTATTTATATAATAAATCGCAAATTTGTCATGTAAAATAGGGACATTTAATACACCTAATTGCTGATATCAAACGTCATAGAAACATACGTAAAGAACGTACGCTTAATCCTCTGCAAAAAAATAAAGAGAATGAGGTAATGACCCCAGAAGAAGCTTACAAGAAACTCCAGGTAACGTGCATTATAAGATTCTCGTAGCATTAAAATATAACATTAAATTTATATAACTAATAATTCGAAATATTAACTCAACTTTTGAACAATTATTTTTTATATCCTTGTATAAAATTTTTACACTTTTTTATTTTATTGTTCTTTTTCAGGATTTAGCAGAAAATGAGTTATCGACAAGCACAATTGTTGAATTGCTTCAACAATCTTTCAACATTCGACCTTATGTTGGAAATGTATGGCCCTACTATCTTTCACAAACAGAATGTGTAAGTATTTACAAAAAATATATACATACTGATGTGATGGAATTGTATATAAATTGTGAAGTACATTGTAGTTTGTCAAAAAAGCTGAATTAAGGATGAAAACATCTATCACAAGTGTTACCAGTGCTATAACTATATATAAAAAGTGCACCACTATATATAAAAAGACAACGGAGAAAGGAATTGGCAACATCTTACAGCTACAAAAATTTTTTAATTTACCAAGGATAAAGGATTGTTTTTTCGAAGAGGTAAAATCTATAATAAATTGTTAAAATTGTTTTTATTATATTGTTGCGTCCGCCGCTGCCGCGCTGCACTCTTGCACGCTTGTACCACACTCGCGCACACGTCCGCGCGCGTTTCTGGAATCGCGGAAATAATCAGGTGAGGGAAGAAATACTTTAAATTGTGTTTGCAAAATACAAGAGACTAACGGAACACGTCCGAACGATACGAAAGCTCGGCGTAAACAATCAACGAAGCAACCGTCGAAAGAGGAACGTTGTCTCAGAGACCGCTTCGCGGCTTGTTCAGAACGGTCGCTTGACGCGGCTCGAACTTAAAGGCCGGATCAGCGCGGGCAAAACATATATATTTAAAAGATGTGTAATTTTTTAAAAAGAATTTTAATTTGTTTTATGTGATTTATGCAGAAAGTTCCAACATTTGAAGATTTAATTGCACCTTCTGTTGGACCAAGAGTATATTACAATGATAATACAGCATGGCTTGTGATTAATGAGACTGACCAAGTAACGATTAATGTTGTATCTGCAGAAGAGGCAGTCGCTCTGGGATTAGCTGTTTATTTCATAAAAAATCTGAATTATCCATCAGCTTTCAGCCAATTACTTGGTTTAATTGAAACGTTGTGTCTGGGTAACAATTATCAATTTTTGGACAAACGAGCTAAAGGAATTTTGTCCAATTGTACTTCATAAATTAGAGTTTAGAGTAGAGTTTTTTTTTCTATAATTAATTCTAAATTTCTTATTTAGTTTTGGATCTTTGTGACCATCCCTCCTTTTCTTTTCTATAACATATTTACATTTTTAGTTTAGTTTTTTAGATTTTTGTGCTTATCCTTTTTTTAATTTTATATAATATATTGTAAAACTGTAATGGGTAAAGAATTTTCTCAGTTTTTATTCGTATTTCTGGTTACATATATAATGCAATTTATGTTTATGTATTTTATATATACTATATATGGGGGGACAGGTTCAGTTGCACACGGTACAATTGGACACGTTGCAAATAAACACGTTGCAAATGGACACGGTCTTTTGGACACAGTTCAAATGGACACCGTTTAAATGGTCACCGTGCATATAGACACCGTTCAAATGCACACCGTTCAAATGGACACTATTCATTTGGACACGTAAAAATGAACACGTTTATTTGGACACGTGAAACATGGACACCATTCAATCGGACACGAGAAAACGGACACCGTTCAATCGGACACGGGAATACGGACACTGTTTAAACAGACACTGTTCAATCGGACACGGGAAAACGTACACCGTTCAATCGGACACGAGAAAACGGACACCGTTCAGTCGGACACCGTGCAATCGGACACCGTTCAATCGGACACCGTGCAATCGGATACCGTGCAATCGGACACCGTGGAATCGGACGCCGTGCAGTCGGACACGGGAAAACGGACACCGTTCAATCGGACACGGGAAAACGGACACCGTTCAGTCGGACACCGTGCAATCGGACACCGTGCAATCGGACACCTTGCACTCGGACACCGTGCAATCGGACACCGTTCAGTCGGACATCGTTCAATCGAACACCGTGCAGTCGGACACGGGAAAACGGACACCGTTCAATTGGACACGAGAAAACGGACACCGTTCAGTCGGACACCGTGCAATCGGACACCGTGCAATCGGACACCGTTCAATCGGACACGAGAAAACGGACACCGAAAGACGAACGTGATTCATTCAGAAATAAAAAGGATAAATATTTTACACTTAATTATGAAAGGTAGACTGTTTGTACTGATAAATATTTTACACTTAATTATGAAAGGTAGACTGTTTGTACGAATATATTTATTTAAAGATGCCAACAGTTTAATAAAAAAAATATAGTCAATTATTTTACCGCATAACTGTTAACATTTAAATTTGATATTTTGAGGTAAGAATATCTGTCAATGTGAAAAATATACTTATTGTATGTATATTGTGATATTTAATTTAGATAGCAAACTGAATGGAAAGTTTCAATGTTATAAATGTAACATTACTCTTACTATATAATTTTATATTTATTTTATTGTGACAGATAATAGAAGATATAGTTAGAGTAAGGATATAAGTTGAGAATAAGTTTTATTAACATTTATAGACAGAAGCGATAGTTTATTAGTGTCAGGTGTATTTTTGACAATTTTTATAATCTTTTTGCAACTGTGTTAGATACATAGCGTCTGTATCATCTGTGTTATACGTTTATTATCAGATATAAAGCAATACTTAATATTTTTTATTTTTTTATAAAACATTATAAAGCTCTAAAATAAAGTGGCAATACTTAGCATACTACATGTGACAATATTATATAAAAAACAGTCAACTATTTTTAGCGTTACGTACATTTGTAAAAAATAAAATTTCTGTATAACAAATTACATGTATCAATTAGAGAATATTAATTTTAACAACTTGAATTTCTATGACCAATTATCTAAAAGATAACGATAATTATTTTACAAAGTAAATTGGAAAAAGAAAAAGTTGTAAGCCAATTTTGCAGCTTAGAATCAATTAAATAAAACAAATATTTTAACTACAGTAGTCAGTAATAGTAGTGAATTAAAGTTGTTAAAGTAAT